AATAATGGAGGTTTTTACTAAAGTCAACATTCATTTCCCTTTAAAATGTAAAGAAATTTGCACGGGAAACTTCAAGATTACCGGATAGTACAACTTCGTTGTTTTTACTTTTCTTCTTTTAATGTCTTTTTATTTTTGCTTTTTATGCATAAATGGATTGAACTCATAAAACAATTCGGACACCTGAAGTTTTCTTTAGTATTTTGGCAGGGGTAATTTTTTCATTTTATGATCAAAAATATATTACAAATTAATCTTTCTTCCTCGAACCTCTAGTTTTTCCATCTAAATATTCTGGAATACTTTCCTATTTGTAGAGTGAATATGTGAAGAATGTTAAATATGCTAATAATACATTCCTATTCTTCTTTTTTTAAATTCAACTGAAAAGCAACTACAAAGTAATAGGAATTATATAGGCAAGAGCATATAGTGCTTGATACAAAAAACTTAACACATCAAAGTGTTATTCTTCATTAAGATGGAAATGAGAAAAAATTCGGATACACATCTTCACTTTGATATACGACACAATACGATTTTCTAACCGTCCGTACGCACTGTAAAGAGCCCTCAAAGACTGACTATCAAACCTCGTGGACCCCTTCCCTGAGAGATTGCGACTGGAATCTTCTTTTGCAATAGGAGTTGTTGCTATGCCAGAAAGCACCAGGAAATAACTACACAAGTACAGAATCTTACGGTACTTCTCACCAAAATATTGGTCTAAAATATCAAGTTTATTTTAAGTTTTAAGCGAGATAATGTCTTTTTATAAATCAATCTAAATCACAAAAATATTTTAACATGCCATTACTAGAAAAATGACCTTATAAAGGATTAGCTAGAAAAAAACTTGGAAACACATGCTAGAAAATTCTTTGTATCTTATAGGATTGAAGCAATTTCAAAATTAAAATAATTACATTCTACGAGTATTTGCGTTACCGTGAAATTAAAACGAGTATTGAAATTTTTTTTCAAACTCTTTGTCATTTATTCTTAGATAAACAATTTACTAGTAATCTATAAAAATATAATTATTTTCAATTAAAAATTTTTACATTGAATCAAGGACTATTTAAGGTATCCGACTACGTTCGGAACCGTGATTTTGCAAAAGCATATAAATGGATAATATTTATGATGTTTAGTGTCACTTAAATTCGAAAATGTATATAAAACTGTTTTAAGAATAGTATTGCAATAAAAAATTATTTATACAATATTTTGACCAAAAATGAACATAGAATGACCCATTTTCAAATATTCTCCTTTTGAAAAAATGCTTCTATTATAATAATATTTTGCCTGTATATGCTCAGACCTTCTGTACAGAGGCTCAACTAAAATTTTTTGAAATATATAACTTAGAAGTGGGTTTATCCATGTCTTACGAAAACAGGGGGAGGAATTTTAAGAAAAAACCCCGTTAATTATTAAATTTGGTGGTAACTCTGAAAATAATGTTAATTTTTCAAAAATCATATTTGGGAGCCTCTGTACAGGGGTTACAAGCAAAATATTATCATAATAGAGCATTTTTCAAAAAAGAAACATTTTGAAAAAGGTTATTCTAAGTTAATTTTTGCCAAAATATTGTCTTAAATAATTTTTTTTGTCAAATTTTTAAAACAATTTTATACATGTATTCCAATCTAAGTGACACTAAATATCATGAAAATTATCCATTTATGCTCTTTTTTAAAATCACGGTTCTGAACGTATTCGGATACCTTAAGACGGAATATGTCTCAAATGTTTACAAAATACATACTGTGTTGGTATCGTGAATGCTGTACTTCTGCATAAATTTTGGTTTCCCGGTTAAATGAAAGAATGTGTAACATGATCCAACAGTCCAGTAGAATAAGGTGGTTACAATAAAGCTACCTAAAAATGGACAAAGAAAGCTTTATTTCTCTCAACATTATGAAATAATTCAAAACAAAATAAAATTATGAATGCTTTATCGCTCAAACTTGTTGAATCGAATTTAAAAGTTATATAGTAAAAAAATCAGTTGTATAAATAAGCTCCATTTTGAATGAATCTGAAAAATTAATGTTTAGAAATTTCAAAACGTATTTTTTTGAATTTTTATGTTACTTAAAAATAACTCTCTGACCCGTTTAGGAAATAATTACATGAAAATTTGGTAAATAAAGCACAAGTGGGTACATAAGGGCTCACAGGACTCTTAAATTGCAAATGTTTCAATTTTTTTAAAAAAATAATATGTGTTAAAGTCTCAATATTTCTGAGTATTTTGGTACCAAAACTGTGTTGATACTGTGAAAACTTCCGAAGTTATTGAGAAATAAGTAGTGAAACTTAAACGAAAATTCTATCTCTTTCTTATCTTTAACTTCATTTTTCGCAAAACAAAAAAGTTCAGCTTCTGCGCCGGATTTCTCAAAAACTATTTATGATATCAATTTGAAATTTTATACACGCGTTCAAAATAAGGCTCTTCATAACTTATACATCAATTTTTTCAAAAAAAAAATTAATAGATTTTTTATTTGAATTTAAATTTATATTATTCTTAAAATTTTAAAATTTTTGTTATAATTGTATTTAAAAATTTTTTTTTTACCTCTAAATTTCTTAAAAGTGTGTATAACTTCAAAAATGAACATTTTTATACCAAGTAAAATTAATTTTGTAAATTTCGATCAGTTTTGTACTTCAGAATCCTGCGCGGTGTAAAATACTGATTTTCATATTTTTAAAAAATTGTCTAATTTTTATTTCTTTATAACTTTTAAATTTTTTCATTCTCTGAAAATTGTAGAAATATATTTTAAGTATATATGATCATCATGTGGTAAAAATTTCAAATTATTGTTTTGTTTTATTGCTAAGTTATATTGGTTTGAAAAAGGATGTTTTTTTCGAGTGCACGGATGTAGTATGTTAAGGGTCCTGTGAGCCCATAAAACAAATAAAATAGTACTTCTTTAAATTCTTTTTTTTTAAATTTTAAACAATTACACGTATTTGATACTTTATAAATATGAAGTATTGAGTGTCTATGAGAGGCAAGAAAATTTCGTTGCCAAATCCGTATTTGTTTTTTGTCATGGGAACGGGTTTAAATCTACTTTTACTAGAAAAATGTTTAAAGGTGACTTTTTTTGAAAAATTCAAATACGTTTTTGTTTCATCTGTCTAATAAGGATACATGCGAAGTTCTTTTAGAAACAAGCATCTTTTATAACACCAACTTCAATAACAATATAAGGTATATTACTCAATGTATATTAAAAAAAGTAGAGAGTTTATGAGTGTATGGGACATTTTGCGCAAAGACAGAAAGATCCAGATGCACGAAATTAAGCCCGCAGGGTGATGGATGGTGAACATTTCGAATAAATTTTTTCTAAATTTGCCTTAGATTTTTTTTAAAATTCAATGTTAAGGCTACTTTTGCATACTTTTGGTATACTTTGCAAACTAACTCTCGAACAAAACGTTGCAGGATTACGATTCTTGCTTCATTTGAAAATCTCTCTTTTTAAAAAAGACTACGTGTTGTTTTGGACATGTAAATTAACTAGAACAGTTTTGATACATTTTTGTAAATGGTGCTATAAAGCATCAATTTTCAATTTTTATTTTTAAGTAGTTGAGTTCAGAAATGTATCGATTTAAATAGCACGGTATCCATAATGAATAATTATCACACTTTAAAAAAAAACATCAACCGAGAAATAATATCACGTGTTCGATTTTTCAAACGGGTGGCTAATTCTACGTCACATGATAAAAACAAACACGTTTCTCCTTAAACAAAACATAATCAAACTAATTAGTTGTTTCCGAAAACTTAGGTAAAAATTTTACATTTATAATTGGGTAAAATTTAAACGTTATAAAAAAAATTTCTTCAATAGATTTTAAAAAATTAAAAAATCTTTTTTATGATTTTTAAAAAAAATGCATTTTGTCTACCTATTGATTTTTGTTGTTGAGAAATTTCTATCTTTTTAAAGAAAGTTTCAAAAGATCAAAAGTTCACAAATTGTTTTATCGTGGATAATGACGTCACTAAATTTTTAACTGATTGGATAAAAACACGGGGTTTTCTTATCATATGAGAGACGTCACAAATTGGCCCATTGTGAAATTGTTAGAAAAAAAATTCAAAAGATTTTTTAAATAAAAAAAACATCGGTTTTGCGTTTACTTTTTGTAAATTTTTTGATACATAATTTTAAAGAAAATTTCCGCAAAAAAGCAAAAGTTGGCAACAACGAAGCGGGGTGATTAGCTGGGAATCAAAGATAACTTTTTTCGTGTGATATGATTCAAAATGGTTGTTGTTGACATGTGTTTTTTATCCTGGGAACATGTGAAATACAAGAGAAGAAGAACATATACACATATATTACAAATGATGATCCCAGCATATAACAAGAAGGAGTGAGCTGCTTTCCTTTCGAGACGGGAATCCATTACAGGCGAAAGATCAACTTCTTTCCCGAAGAAGATACAACCATGCCTTACTCGGGATTCGAACCCACTCAGTTACAAGCCGAGGGTCATAGCACATGAGTTTATGAACTGATTGGCTAAAATCACGTGGTTATCATTTATGTGACTATGACGTCACATAAATTTAGCCCATTACGCAATGAGTGAACGAATGCGAATTTCATTTTTTAAAGTACGAATTTTCTACAAGATGAACATTATATTGTGTATCAAAAGAAAGGAAACTTTTATAAAAACGGGTCTTGTGTGTCAATCAGTTTTTCACAATTCCTACTATATTAGTTTACACTCTCCTTATATATTTATATATATCTTGTGTGTCAAAAATTTCAATCGTTAACCCAATCAAGTTCAAATACAGTTTTAAAACTTGTAGTGGATGGCACTTCATGTTAATACAGTTTTTCAAATATTAATTCATTAACTAAATTTAATTAATGAATAGATAAAAACAAAATTTTAGTCCAACACCATGTATAAAAAGAAAAATAGCTGGTTGTGTCCCTGTAGCGCAATGGATAGCGCGTTGGGTTTAATACAAAGGTCGTGGCTTCGAATCACACCTGGGATAGCCTAATTTCTGGAATTTGATTTCCTTTTATTATGCTATTTATTGAATAATTATGAAAAATGTAACAAACAAAAATAAGAACCCAACACCAAACATAAAAAGAAAAATAGCTTTCTATTTTGCCACTTAATATTGTGATTTCGTCATATGTATATACATATTAAATATAATTAGAATTAATATAAATAAAGTAACTAAAATAAAACTTTTCTCTTGTTGATCTAAGTAGAAATTGACTTAAAATTTTTTATATTCCTTTTTTTTTTCACGTTTGTGATTAAATAAACTATGTTCCCTTCTAAATATAATTTTAAATTATTAAATTAACTAATTTTTTAAAATTTATACGCGGAAATATAGTAAACAAGAAAAGAGCATGAACATTATTTACCCCACACTGCCAAAGCGAAATCGGATCCAAACAATTCGCAAACTGAGTTCCATTGATCTTGCAGAAAACTTCCACACTCTTCCCAATAGTATTGGAAATTGCTATAAATGAAAAATTGGAAATATGGATTGTAATATCAATTACAGAACATTTATATAACTGAGAACTTTCCGGTTAGAAAATATTGTTATTTCGTTCTAAAATTCAGCTAAATGCTTCAAAGAATTTATACTTTGATCATCACCAGTTATTATTCTAAATTATTAAAAAAATCTTTAATTAAAATTACTTAAGATTTTTAATATAGTTGATTATAGCCTATGTGTTAATAAAGCTACTCTTCAATTAGATTTTAACATGCCTTTTCAACAGTCAATCGGCATATTTGATTTAATACTGGGATTTTCTAACAAGTTTGTACTTTTTCAATAAATTTATGTAGGTAAAATTGGATAATTTTTATTATTTTCACTTATCATAAGATAGATATCCTATCACAAGAGAGATAATCACTACATAAAAACCATTATAGAAAAAAATTCAATCCAAAAGCTCAAAAATGCTTAAATTCAATAGTTCCGTTACAAGAATATCAGAACTGGAATTATATAAATTCAATGATTTAAAATTCTCAATATTTACAATACCATTATTAAAGAAAGGAAATACGCTTTAATACTCACAAAATGACTAGTACTCAGTACTAATATAAAGTTACTGAGGAATCTAGTATTTTACGAATATATACATATAGCTGTGCCCAATGCTATAATTTTATTTAAGGAAAAAAGAATATAGCGAATGAAAAATATGTAACAAAAATATATATCTCAATATATACACAGATGTGTGATGTAATATTTTTAAGGAATATAATTTTCCAATTTTTGTTAACTCGATAGTTTTGCTATTTCTTTTCGTAAACATAAGCTATAAATAAATGTTTCATACTGTAATTTGGGAAAGAATACATTCCACAAGATGATTTAAATAATAAGAACTTCTATCAATTTTGGAATATCGAAAATATTTTGTAAGAACAGAATTGTAATTCAGTAAATATAAAATAAAAAAAGCATATCACATAATCAGAGATAGGTGTAGGTAAATAAATATAGTTTTAAGTTAATATACAGAGAACAGTAACACGAAAGAAACATAAAGTTTCTTCTTTAAACAGTAATATATAAAGTTTATGGTAAACAAAAATTATCAACTAGATAGACGCGATAATAATTATATATATGTAATTATTAAAATTCGTCGAATAACGTGCATTTTTAACACAAAAAATAGGATCGAAATTTACAAGTGCGTGTTATATGCCGCGAATGTAAAAATTATAGCTTCAAAAATAATAAAAAATAAACATAAAAAAATAATTAGACTTCACATGTATCGAAAAACTGCTTAATTAAAAGAAATTACGTTCTCCTTATCAGCTTAAAGCAGCGTTTCTGAAACTGTGAGGCACGCATCCCTAGGGGGGGCGAGCATATGAAAAATAAAAGATCATTTAAAAATATTATTAATTTACTGAAAGGAAGCAAAACAAAACGCATTCTAACATAATAAAAAATAAAATACTAATTTACACTTATATAATATACTTATAAATGTATCAATAATGCAGAATGTATTTGTTAACAAATTTATCATTACTAAATTAAGAACAAGTTTAATAATTACTAGTAACCCATTGACTTATACGCAAAATTGTATACAAAATTTAATACTTATTTTGATAATTTGTGCGGCTTATAATTATAAAAGGCCGTATAGTAGCTTTAACGTCAAAGTACATTATTATTGCATTCAATGCATTGTTATTACATGTAGGGGGGGAGGGGGAGGTAATAATTATGATTTAAAATTGGGTCTCAAATATTGAAAGTTTGAGAAGCACTGACTTAAAGGGCTGTAGCACTACAATTATACTATTTTTTGAAAAGCTTGCGATAATACCTCGCAAAATGACTTCAAAAATAAGAGCATTGCTCACGTACATTTCAGATTTCTTCGTCGAAAAAGGGGTGCAAGTTATACAACGAATATACCTGAAATTTCAAAAATGCAGCTTAAAAGTTTTGACAAGTATTATACGCATGATTTTACGGTAAATAAAAAAATTGCGTATTTTATTTCAATTTAAGAGTTTTCGGATTTAACTTAAAGTAAAAATAATGGAAGAAAGTTATTTTTCAAACAAGTATAATCACCAAAGAGTTACACTTACAGCATGATTTTGATCAAACTAATCATTTTTTCCTTCCAATGACTTCCAAGTGGGAATAATTTTTGGTTGTTAAAGTAAAATGAATACTAAATTTTAATCTTTAAGAACTTGAGAGGAATTTTATCTATACGATTTTGATTATCGATACGAACAATTTTAATATTACAATGCGAGATAAACAGTTTATCTCTGGAATTTTATTAAATAAATTTCTTTTATTATTTTTAAAATGGACTTTGTTTGAGTCAAATCCCTTTAAAAAATTTAATCGAATGTTCATTGAAGTTTCTACCTTATTATTCCCTTATAATAATCTATTTTATATAAAGTAGATAATTCTCCAAGAGCCGCGTGATAAGAGCACTTTTTCTTTGCAACTGCTACCTGTGTTTGTTTGTTTTGAAAACTATAAACCGAACTGAAGTTACTCAACAACTTTTTTGAAAATATATTGAAAAGAGAAAAAGATAAATAATTAAGAAATAAGATGTCATCAATTAGCCCTACTTTAATACATGGTTAGATAAATTCCCACAAGCTGTGACAGTCCCAGCGTCCCAAAATGAGACAGTAGTTCCGCCATTTTGAAAAAGAAAAAGACACAGAATGGCTTAATGGAGAATATTAGGGACCCCTGAAAACTCAGGTTTTGGGCTCCAAGACTTAAGGTATCCGACTACGTTCGGAACCGAGATTTTGCAAACGCGCATAAATGGATACTTTTCATGATATTTAGTGTCACTTAGATTAGAATACATATATACAATTATTTTAAGGATATTTTGACAAAAAAAAATTATTTACATACAATATTTTGTCAAAAAATTAACTTATAATGTTTTTTCAAAATGCTCTCCTTTTGTGAAAAATGATTCTATTATATTTTGCCTGTATATAGCTCGCCAGACCTCTACAGACCAAGCCTCAAATAGAATTTTTGAAATATATAACTTAGAAGTGGGTTTATCCATATTTTACGACAACAGAGAGGAGCAATTTTAAGAAAAAAAAGGATGATAATTATTTCAATGAGTTGTAACTCTGAAAGTAATGGGAATTTTTCAAAAATTATAGTTGAGCCTCTGTAAAGAGGTCTGAGCTATGTGCAGGCAAAATATTATTATAATAGAAGCATTTTTCAAAAAAGGAGAACGTTTTGAAAAAAAAAATTATTCTAAGTTAATTTTTTGCCAAAATATTGCATTTAAATAATTCTTTTTTGTCCAAATGTCCTTAAAACAGTTTTATAAAAGTAATCTCTAATCCAAGTGACACTAAATATCATGAAAATTATCCATTTATGCGCTTTTTTAAAATCACGGCTCCGAACGTAGTCGGATACCTTAATACGTACTTAGCGTTAGTCAAGCTTTGGACCCTCTAGAGTCTTGTCCCTACCCCGCAATGCAGGAGTGTACGTTACGTCACTGAGATGGCAGTTCTGGTGTTCCGACAAGCGGTAATGGCTATGATCCCCATTTAGGAAAATAATTTTCTTAAGAGTTTTTACATGCATTTTTTAATAAACTTTATTCATTCTCAGACCGCAATTAAGACCATATCTGGCTTCAATCGATTCCCAACAGAACTTGAATTCAAATGCAAACAACGTACGGACTCATTTCTTAGCACTGGAAGAGAGGTCGTTCTTCAATGAATCCCTTCCCATTGCGGCATTCGTGGAAATTGTGATATTGCCCCCCTTTGGTGACCGTATCTTTGATTGTCAGCGTGAGCTAGAGGTGTGGGGTTTTCTAAAGTAACAGATATTTTAAATTCTTAATATGACTTTATTAAGAATAAAACTTAAATGTCTAACAATTTAGATAAATTTATAACTAGCGAGAATCTAGAATGAACAAACACACAAAAAGATAGTTAAACCGAATCTCGTAACTTAGACCACTTACTCTAAATAATTATTCAATCCGCCTACTCTCACTTTTAATTATATTACAAGTCCTAATATCAAATAATAAGTCCTACCTTAATCCAACTAAGATTAGATTTCTATATGGAGACGTCTGTGGGCGCACGTGCAATGGTATGCACCTTGTATTACTGGTTTACTTTCCAGGTTACTTTTCGAGTGGCTGTCAATTCACACTTGTATCTCTTCAAACATTACTTTCCCCAAATTGCCATTCTGCTTACTGAAACTTCTGTTCTTTTAAAAGCTATCTTATTTGCATTTCTTGTTCGCATTTCGCTTCTTGGGTTTTGGTTGAAAAAGAGTTGCCATTAATCTTGGCCGTCAGAGAACCCAGAGGTTATGTTAAAGAAAAGACGCGTGAGCCCGTCACAAAATGAACAAGCAGATAAGTTGGACAAAGAGGCTTCAACGCTGTATCCACCTTGCTTTACCGATTCCTC